CGGCTCCGGTGGGCCGGGCACTGGGGGAGTTAATGGGTCTCCCCAGCACAGACGCCGCCACTCTCCCCGGCCCCGCAGCGATCTGCGCATGCCCAGCAGCTGCTCACACCCCGCCCCCCGTTCTCCCGCCCCCGGCCCTGGGCGGGGCTGCCGGAGCCAAACGCCAGGGGGGGGGCACGTGCCAGGTGCTCTGCGAGCGCTGCCTCTGCGCATGCGGGAACCCCGCCCCTCGCGATCCGCTCCTGGGAGAGTCAGGAACTACATATCCCAGCCTGCCCCGCGGCGCTTCCGCCCTCTGCAGCCCAGGTAAGGGCGGGACCCGGGGTCAGCCTGACCCCGCCCCCCTCATCCCCTCCCCCCGCAGAGACCCCCCCCAGCCCCCGCGCCCCTCCCCCCCGCCGGCGCCTCTCAGATCCGCCCCCCCCCCCAGCAGCGGCCCCTCTCCCCCTGCGCCTTCCCGCTTCTCAGGGCATTCACCCATGGAAGCTTATGCTCCAATACATCTGTTTGTCTTAAAGGTGCCACAGGACCCTCTGTTGCTTCTCCTATAGGTTAGTGTAGTAATGATCTCATCTTGGGGTCAGTTCATTGCCATGGCCCTCCTGTGGTCAGACATCTGTGGATGTTCTATCCGAAGGCCGGTGTTAGCTCATGTTCCTCTGGTCGGCTGGTGTCTTTACGGATGAAATTCCCCCTTAGACACTCTATTTCCAGTTCCCCAAACCTTAGGGGTTACCCTTAGGCCAGTTATCTGTGCCAGAGTTCATAGACCTCGAGCCTTATGCTAACTGCTAATGCCAGTGTCCTACAGGAGACGGGCCTGTGGGTTCCTTGCATTACTGCTGCATAAAAGAAATGCTAAAGCTAGCTATATGGGCTACAGGTGATAGTTAATTTACCACCCAGTAATGTTTTAAAGTAGCTCTAGTTTTTCTCTCCAATGTGCATTGCTTTGCATTTAGAAAGATAAGGTGGGTGAGGTCATATCTTTTATTAGACCCACTTCAGTTGGTGAGAGAGATCCATTTCTGAGCTACACACAGATCTCTTCTTTAAGAGAATATCCTAAAAAATTGCCTTCCTTTCTCTCTAGTTATCTATTTCTAATTTAATATTCCCTAAGATTTTTTCCATGTCTCACTAATAATAAATATTAACATAAAATATCTTCAGATTTTGACCTTTTCTCAATTTTGAATATATTTAAAAAAGTTTTGCAGATGTTTCCCATTTTCTTTCAATTTGTCAAATAACACTATGAAATTCACTCTCATTTTACCTCTTTACCTACTATTGACTATCGATATAAAATACTTCACATTTTTTCACTTTCCGCTCTACTTAGTGAAAATTGATCCAAAATTTTCCAGATTTTCACCCTTTTCTCTTTAATGACTTAACATAGATTCATAGATTCTAGGACTAGAAGGGACCTCGAGAGGTCATTGAGTCCAGTTCCCCGCTCTCATGGCAGGACCAAATACTGTCTAGACCATCCCTGATAGACATTTATCTAACCTACTCTTAAATATCTCCAGAGATGGAGATTCCACAACCTCCCTAGGCAGTTTATTCCAGTGTTTAGCCACCCTGACAGTTAGGAACTTTTTCCTAATGTCCAACTTAAACCTCCCATGCTACAGTTTAAGCCCATTGCTTCTTGTTCTATCCTTAGAGGCTAAGGTGTACAAGTTTTCTCCCTCTTCCTTATGGCACCCTTTTAGATACCTGAAAACTGCTATCATGTCCCCTCTCAGTCTTCTCTTTTCCAAACTAAACAAACCCAATTCTTTCAGCCTTCCTTCATAGGTCATGTTCTCAAGACCTTTAATCATTCTTGTTGTTCTTCTTTGGACCCTCTCCAATTTCTCCACATCTTTCTTGAAATGCGGTGCCCAGAACTGGACACCATATTCCAGTTGAGGCCTAACCAGTGCAGAGTAGAGCGGAAGAATGACTTCTCGTGTCTTGTTCACAACACACCTGTTAATGCATTCCAGAATCATTTTGCTTTTTTTGCAACAGCATCACACTGTTGACTCATATTTAGCTTGTGGTCCACTATAACCCCTAGATCCCTTTCTGCCGTACTCCTTCCTAGACAGTCTCTTCCCATTCTGTATGTGTGAAACAGATTCCTTCCTGTGTGATTGTTCCTTCCTAAGTGGAGCACTTTGCATTTGTCTTTGTTAAACTTCATCCTGTTTACCTCAGACCATTTCTCCAATTTGTCCAGATCATTTTGAATTATGACCCTATCCTCCAAAGCAGTTGCAATCCCTCCCACTGTAGTATCATCTGCAAACTTAATAAGCGTACTTTCTATGCCAATATCTAAGTCGTTGATGAAGCTATTGAACAGAGCCGGTCCCAAAACAGACCCCTGCGGAACCCCACTTGTTATACCTTTTCAGCAGGATTGAGAACCATTAATAACTTCTCTCTGAGTACGGTTATCCAGCCAGTTATGCACCCACCTTATAGTAGCCCCATCTAAGTTGTATTTGCCTTGTTTATCAATAAGAATATCATAGAATCATAGAATATCAGGGTTGGAAGGGACCTCAAGAGGTCATCTAGTCCAACCCCCTGCTCAAAGCAGGACCAATTCCCAACTAAATCATCCCAGACAGGGCTTTGTCAAGCTGGGCCTTAAAAACCTCCAAGGAAGGAGACTCCACTACCTCCCTAGGTAACGCATTCCAGTGTTTCACTGTGAAATAGTTTTTCCTAATATCCAACCTGGACCTCCCCCACTGCAACTTGAGACCATTGCTCCTTGTTCTGTCATCTGCCACCACTGAGAACAGCCGAGCTCCATCCTCTTTGGAACCAAGAGGTAGTTGAAGGCTGCTATCAAATCCCCCCTCATTCTTCTCTTCTGGAGACTAAACAATCCCAGTTCCCTCAGCCTCTCCTCATAGGTCATGTGCTCCAGACCCCTAATCATTTTTGTTGCCCTCCGTTGGACTCTTTCCAATTTTTCCACATCCTTCTTGTAGTGTGGGGCCCAAAACTGGACACAGTATTCCAGATGAGGCCTCACCAATGTCGAATAAAGGTGAACGATCAAGTCCCTCGATCTGCGCGCAATGCCCCTGCAACAGCCCAAAATGCCGTTTGCCTT